TCATCTCCAAGCAGTTTATGTGAAGGAGCTTTTCCCGTTCTGACCACAGGCCAGCTAGCGGTCTGCCCTCGAGCAGCGCTCCCCACCCCGAGGTGGAGGCGTCCGTAGACACCACCTTCACGCTCGAAGCGGTCCCCAGACTTACACCTGACTGATACCAGTCGGTTTCTCTCCAAGGTTTCAGAGCTGAAACGCACTGAAGGTCGACCCTGAGGCGAAACAGACCCGCTGTCCATGCCCTGGGTGGAACCCGCGTCTTCAGCCACATCTGCAGTGGGCGCATGCGGAGCAGGCCCAACTGGAGTACAGAGGCTGCTGAGGCCATCAGCCCCAGCATTTTCTGAAACCTTTTGAGCGGGACTATCGCGCCGTGGCGGAAGGATTTCACGCCGCGCTGAATATTTAGCACGCGCTCTGGTGACAGGCGTGCTGTCATGGACAGCGAGTCCAACACGGTTCCCAGAAAGGAAATTTTCTGACTGGGAGACAGTGAGCTCTTCGCCCAATTGACTGTGAGGCCCAACTTCTCGAGGTGCTCGAGCAATGCGGCCCTGTGTTCTATGAGCTCCGATCGTGATCGAGCTAGAATCAGCCAATCGTCCAAGTAGTTCAGAACTCGCATGCCCTGAAGTCTCAGGGGCGCGAGCGCCGCGTCCATGCACTTCGTAAATGTACGAGGCGCTAGGGACAGGCCGAACGGCAGGACTGTGTATTGATATGCCTGGCCCTCGAAGGCGAATCTCAAAAATCGCCTGTGATGGGACGCTATTTGTATTTGGAAATAGGCGTCTTTCAGATCTATCGACATAAACCAGTCCCCGAAGCGCACCTGCGCGAGGATTTTCCTGGTCGTAAGCATTCTGAACTGGCGCTTCACAAGCACTCTGTTCAGCTGCCGCAGATCTAAAATGGGTCTGAGACCCCCATCCTTTTTCGGTACCAGAAAATATCTGCTGTATAGGCCCCCTTCGCTCTGAGCCTGAGATAAAGGTTCTATAGCCCCTTTGCTCAGTAGTTTCGCTATTTCGGCACGAAGTAGATGAGATACTTCGTTTTTCACCGTGGTTTCGACGCGCGCCGTATAACGGCGCGGGCGTCGAGCGAATTGTAGCGAATAGCCTCTCTTTATAGTGTTCAGCACCCATTCTGAAACCCCGGGAAGCTTTGACCACGCATCTGCGTGAATAGCTAGAGGCAGAATGAAATCCGGGCTCTGGCCGCGACAAAACGGCAGCTCGAGAGCCTGGGCATACTGGGAACACAACACCGTGTTTACAGCGTTCGAGGCGGGGGGCGCGCTGATCACAGCGGGCGACCTGGCCGCGCTCAGCTTTTTTATGGCAGATTGTGCAGAAAAAGCGAGCGGGGGAGATCCCGTGGGAATCGGCGTGTCTGTGAGAAAATGTGGGCGCGGGGCTGCGGGCACATTTAATACACTGAAAACACTGTCGTTCATGGCCGACTGAATGTGTGTTGGTTTCGTTTTTACAGAAACCATGGGACACGCAGCATGTAGTGTGAGCGGGCATGATGACATGGGCACTTGCACTACATTGTTTGCACAATCGACCGGAGTCGATTTTATTTGTGCTAGCCCTGCACCGTGGCGGGCTGTGTTTGTGTGTGGGAATGGGCACTGGGTGGGCATTCTTACAACACTCATAACACCTTCGGCCGTGGCCGGAACACCAGAAAATGCACTCTTTATTGGATTTATCTGGGTAGCCGTAAAAACGGCTTTTGTGCGCAGGCAAACGGGCTGTGACACCGGCTGACTCTCTGCGAAATACACTGGGACAGTCGCGATGTTTGGAACTGACCGAGCGAGAAGTTTTGGTGAAAAACCGGCCGCAGCGGGATCTGAACACCGTCGTTTTCCTAGAATGGCTAGGAAGATTTTGAGGCCTCGGGCTTGATCTCAATCCTCGGCCGGGGCCCGCGCTGAGGGGGGCGGCGTCCAGCAGAGCGAGAGCGCGGTCTTTGGTCTCGGGCGTGGCGGCGCTGTGAAGCGGCTGCGGCGGGCGGTGCAGGCTGCGGCTGAGAGCTGCGAGCAGGCGGCGGTTTAGAGCGACCTGCAGCGGAGCTCGAGCGCTTCGGGAGGAAGTGCTTCATGGCCTGCGAAGTCTTTTGCACCTCCATGAATCTATCCGCAAAGTCTGTGACGGCAGATCCGAAAAGGCCCGCTTGAGAAATGGGCGCGTCGAGGAACACAGAGCGCTCGGCTTCCGTCATCTCGGACAGCGTCAACCACAAATGTCTCTCAGCCACGGTGAGAGAGGCCATGTTTCGTCCTATGGCCTGTGCAGCGGCTTTAGTAGCGCGAAGAGCGAGGTCTGTAGCGCTTCTCAGGTCCGCGACGCAGATCGCTCCGGGTCCTTCCTCGTCCAGTTTAAGGAGAAGGTCGGCCTGGAAAATCTGCAGGATGGCCATAGTGTGCAGCGCTGAAACTGCTTGCCCGGCGGCGGTGTAAGCGCGACCGTGCATGGATGACGTCACCCGGCAGGCTTTAGATGGAAGCGTCGTGTGCACGCGCCGTCCAGCGGAGGGCGGGCAGAGATGAGACGCTACAGCTGGTTCCACAGGAGGAACAGAAAGGTATCCTCTTTCCTTCGCGCCATCCACAGAGGAGAAAGCAGCAGAAGCAGAGGTACGAAGCCTGGCGGAGAAGGGGGCGTTCCACGATTTCGTAACTTCGTCGTGAAGTTCCGGGAGGAAGGGCGCGGGCCGCGATTTCGACGGAGCCTCGTCACTTCCGAGAAAGCGTCCGTCCATTCTGTTGCGCGGCGGCTGCGCGGGCGCCTCCCAATCGAGGCCGATGCTTTCAACGGCCTGAGAGAGCAGACGCATCAGCTCAGTCTCAATGCCGGCTCTCTTACCAGTGGTCTGGCGGGAAACGCTAGCGGAGGGGAGATCCACGGAGCTCGCCCAATCCTCACTATCGGACGCCAGAAGAGAACATGCCTCGGAGGGTTCGTCAGGCTCGTGGATGGACGCGGCGGCAGGCGGCGGCCGTTGTCCGTCAGTGAGCGACTCGAGCGAAGCCGGCGAAGCAGGCGGGCGAACCGGCGAGCTTTGGCGGGCTGGAGATAGCTCGGGAGCGCGCTGGGCGCGGCGCTTTTTACGGCGCGGCGTCACGGCGGGCTGTGGTGAAGGCTCGGAGAATGATGCCAGGCGCGTCCTCAGAGTCACCATGGGCAAAAGCTCGCAATGAGGGCATCCGCCGTCAGCGAGCGCGAGAGCCGCGTGATCCTCACCCAGACAGGAAACACAGATGACGTGTCGATCTCCATCGCTGAGCGGGGCGCGGCACGAGCCACAGGAAGGCATCTTTAAAAAGACGCTGCTCTTTTTGTGAGAGAAGTGTAAGTCGCGTCAAGTAAGCGAACAAACACTTCTCAACAGAGAAATACACACAGGGTATTGAAAGGATATATAACGCCGGAAAGCGCAGCAGGTACGGCAGATGAAGGCGGCGAGGCCAGCGACTCCAGAGCTCGTCCCGCTGAAAGGCTTGCTTCGACGGCGCGGCTTCTCACTCCGGATCCAGCGATGCGTGTGCTTCGCTGAAGAGGTAAAAATCAGCTTGTATCAGCCTAACGAGCATATTTATAGGGCGAGACCACGCCCCTTCTGGCGGGACGTGACGATATGGGCGCGAATTGCCCCCATTGGTCATTACGTCACGCAGAGTCTCTCTCGATAGGCTGCTGCATTTGCTGCAGAGCAACCAATAGGCGCGCGAGCTGTTTCGCCTATGTTTGCTTGCTGCTGCAAAGCGTTTTGCATTAATAAAAAATTAAAGGATAATTTTTGGCTTCAATATCTCGCGGCAAAGAGTTTTTCCCCTAGCGTAAAGCTATTACGCAGTACGAGAGATACTCTCGTAAGAGAACGTTACTTCCCTTTTGCCCCTAGAAAACTAATTGGGAACGTAACACATGGCTTATTTCAGTGCTAGTAAAATTTACAAACAATGTAGTTTGACACAGAGTATTGCAAACTAAACTTCAAATGAGTAAGTAGAAATTACTCCTCTAACTGGCCACGGTAAATTTACTTATGCTCTTTGTTAATTTGACCTAACTTAGTTAATTTCAAACTTGTTCTATTACTGTCTGGTATGGCAACTCCACTGTCCAGCAGAGGTCGCAGCTAGACAGGATAGTCAATACATCGTTGGCTGCAAACTCTCCCCCATCTGTGAGATCTAGAGGCCCGCATTCACTGTAAAGATCCTTCAAGATGATACTCACCCTGCCAACTCTCTTTTCTCCATACTCCCATCAGGAAGAAGGATAAGAGCTATTAAGACTAAAACCTCACACACTGCAGAGCCATTACATCTCTAACCAGATCTCGACCCCTGAACCAGTCCCTTATGGAAAACAGAGTCTGCATAATTTACACATTTCTTTATAGTGTTTTTTTTAATACCTTTTTACATATTTTATGCCAACCATATTAGTGTTATTTTTTCTATTTATTGTAAAGTTGTGGATTTGTACTCTGTATCCCTATATTGTCACTTCTACCTAACATCAGCCACTATAGCCTCCTGGACTGTCATCCAGGTACGTGGTGAGTGGTGCGTTCCTTTTACTTTTATTTGTTTGTGTCAAGTGTCATCACATGTTGGGCGTTTGTGTTTATATTTGCCCTATGTCTTTGGTTGTATCTTGTTGATGTCCTGTTATGGGCACACTGAAGCAAATCCCTGACAACTTGCACAGAGTTCTATGGCAATAAAAGTAATCTTGAATTCCATACATGTGACATTTACTTAAAAAATATGAGTTTTTTTTTTTTTCAGTGCAGAACTAGGCCTTGAACTCTGGTACACTCACACTTAAACAGGAACTCAAGACACAAAAATACATTTGAACATCTGACCTCTTAATTGTTGCAATAAATCTATAACTAATGTGCCAGAAATGCAGGACACCCGGATGTTATTGCCTAATATTATGTGTATAAATATGACCCATCATCATTCAATAGATATGAGAATGTTATGGTGTTACACAGGCTCTGGCTCTTCACCGAATCTTCCTCTGATATTCTGAAGGCAACCATTTAAAAACCAAAGTGAGTTCTGAATAAATGTTCTACCTGAAGTATTTTTTAGCTTTGTGTTTAAATGCATTGAGGATCGCAGTGTGCAGCATATGAGTGCATGCAGACATTTCACTTTTCCTGCTTATTAATTTCAGGTTCATCATGGCAATGCTGAAAAGCTGTCTGCTTCTTTTCTTCATCTTCTCCATGGGGGATACAGAAGGTAACCATTTATTTGTAAACATTTAAATGCTATTAAAAATATTCTGGAAATGTACAATATTATATTGACTAGTATTTGCATGATTAATAAGGGGTTTACAGTGTATAAAGTACATATTTTCAGCACAATCACAAAAACATAAATTAAGCTACATAAATAAAAAATAAAACCAAATTATTTGCAGTGAATGTTACAAGAAATGTTAATGGACTGGATGCAGTTGGTTTATCCAGAAGATGCCCCACTACATGGATAAAACTTGGACTCCGATGCTACAAGTTCATTTCTCATCCGACTAACTGGATCACAGCAGAGGTAATGTGTTACAACAAGATGATTTGATCACACTTTATATTAGGTGTCTTTAACTACATCTAAAAGACAGATGTAAAGACATGTATCTACACAATAAGTGCATTGTCAAATGATTCATTTAAACTGATAAAAATTATTCTGTGGTGAAGTAAATGCTACAGGAAAAAACTAATGTAATTACTACAAGGAAAAGTTAGTTCAGGCAAGAATTTAAGAAACAAAGTAAATTATATATTAGTACTCAATTCAAGCATGTAAATATCAAGAATATAAAACTAAGTAAAACCTACTCAACTTTTATAATACTTGTTCCCATCATGCACTGGGGCATGAATAATAAATAAGGTTGATTTTTCACTGTTTTATCATTGCTTTTGTTAGATTTAGTAACTTGCCATTTTGTGACATCTGGATTCGTTTTCAAAATGACACAATCACTCAAAAACCATCTATCGAATGTTAAAGTCATTGTGTATTGTGTAGTATTGAGGTGTTCAGGTGCCATATTACTTTTATTATATAGATACAGTATGTAATCTATTTAATATCTATTGTATTATTTATTTAGATGTTTCTAAGTAAAGCATATACTTAAAACGTGTGGTTTAATTCAGTGTTATATTGTCTTAACTAACTTAACTTTAACAAAATGAACTTTTTAAGCAGATGTTACTTAATTCTCTATGTGAAATGAAATAAGTTAAATATTATGAAGTAATATTTACTTAATTACTTCAATGTCAATTAAGTGTCAAACTAATTTTAAGTCCAATAGTGATTAGATTTTACTTGATAATAACAGGTAAGTTGTACAGAGCAGTATCAGTAAAATATACTTAAAATGTGTTAGTGCAAATTGTTACGAGGATTGTATCAAGTAAATCCTACAAGTCATTGTTTTTTTCAGTGATATTATTTGAAGACATCTATAAAGTGGGAATGTTTTTTTATAGTAAAACTTTCTTTTCTGCAATTAAATAGTACAGAAAACGTCTCGGGTTATGACTATAACCCTTGTTCCCTGAGAAGGGAACGAGACACTGCGTCGTAAATCGACACTTTGGGGACGCTCCCTTAGCGTGCGCCTCTGAAGTATGAATGAAACTATTCCAATCCTGATTGGTGTTGCGTCATGACGTAACATGTGACGGCATAACCGGATGCATAAAAGCTACGCCGGAACAAACACAAAGTAGCATAGCGATGAAGCAAGCCGCTCTCAGGCCTTGAGGGGCGTGTCAGGACGACGCAGTGTCTCGTTCCCTTCTCAGGGAACAAGGGTTATAGTCATAACCCGAGACGTTCCCTTTCGAGGGAACTCGAACTGCGTCGTAAATCGACACTTTGGGGAACGAATGCCCACTAGGCCACGCACCGAAGACAGGCCTGCCCCGGAGTGAAACTGATTCAGGCACTCAGCTAGGACGAGAGCACATGTGCGCCAGGCGTACTAGGGAGGTGCAAACTATAGAACCTAACAAAAGTGTGTGGGGTAGCCCAACCGGCTGCCTCACAGATCTCCTGGATAGGAACTCCCGAAAGGAGGGCTCTAGAGGACGCCATGCCTCTAGTCGAATGAGCCCTAACAGCTAAAGGTGAAGGCAAGTCGCGCACCTTGTAAGCTGAGGTGATAGCCTGAACAATCCAATTACTAATAGTTTGCTTGGATGCCGGGAGTCCCTTCTTAGGTGACCCAAAACACACAAATAATTGGTCCGACCTCCTCCAAGAAGAGGACCTCTCGAGGTACACGCTTAAAGCTCTGACGGGGCAGAGCAAATGAAGCTTCTCTTCTTCTGCCGACACATGAGGTGGAGGATGGAATGCCTGAAGGACCGTGGACCGAGCTGTATTCGTAGGAACCTTTGGTACGTAGCCCGGACTCGGGTGCAAAAACGCTTTAACTCTGCCAGGGGCAAACTCCAAGCAAGCGGGTGTCACTGCCAGGGCTTGGAGATCTCCCACCCTCTTAAGAGAGGTAATAGCTAAGAGAAATACCATTTTCAGCGTTAAGTCCTTAGGCGAAGCCGACTGCAGAGGTTCGAAGGGGGCCAGGGATAACCCTTCGAGAACCACCGCCAGGTCCCAGGCAGGAACCCTGGACCTGGTCGTCGGTCTCATCCTCCATGTACCACGGAGAAAACGAATGACCAGCTGGTGCCTCCCCAGAGGCCCCTCATTAAACGGTGCATGGAAAGCCGCAATGGCAGCCACGTACACCTTAAGAGTGGAAGGGGAGAGACCCGCAGAGAAACGATCTTGAAGAAACTCCAGAACTGAAGCCACCGGGCAGTTAACTGGATCTAACTCCTGTTCTCTACACCAAGTGGAAAAAACATTCCACTTGAGGCCATATAATCTCCTAGTAGACGGAGCCCTAGAGCTAAGTATGGTTTCAACCACTCCGGCTGATAGACCAGCATTTAGGTACTGAACCCCCTCAGGGGCCAGACCCACAGTTTCCACAGCTCTGGCCGAGGGTGGAATACTGTGCCCTCCGCCTGAGACAACAGATCCCTCCTCAGAGGAATCTGCCACGGCGGAGCTATCAGGAGTGAAATTATGTCTGAAAACCATACTCGGGCCGGCCACAACGGGGCTATCAGAAGAAGACTGATGCCCTCCTGACGGACCCTTTCCAGGACTCCCGGGAGCAGAGCGATCGGGGGAAATGCGTACAGGCGAAGCCTCGGCCAGGCCTGTACCATGGCATCCAACCCCAGTGGGGCTGGATGTGAGAGGTAGAACCAAAGTGGACAGTGGGACGTCTCTCGAGACGCAAATAGATCCACTTCCATTGGTCCAAAACCTCTCCCATATCAACTTCACCACATCTGGATGAAGTCTCCATTCCCCGGGCCTCAGCCCCTGCCTCGACAGGATGTCTGCTCCCTGATTTCTGAACCCCCGGAATATACATTGCTCTGATAGACAGTATTTTCCCCTGGGACCAAAGAATAATCTGATGCGCCAGTCTGCACAGAGGGCGCGATCTGAGTCCCCCTTGTCGGTTCAGATAGGCTACCACTGACGTATTGTCAGATCGTACTAAGACATGGTAACCTTTGATGTCTGGGAGGAAGCTCCTCAAAGCCCTGAACACAGCCATCATCTCTAGACAGTTTATGTGCCAAGAATGATGATGGTCCTGCCACAGATCCCTGGCAAAGCGGCCGTCCATGACCGCGCCCCAACCAGTGAGGGAGGCGACTGTCGAAACGGTTTTCCGGCGACATGACGCTCCCAGCACTGGCCCTTGGGATAGGAACCAAGGTTTCTTCCAAATTACCAGAGAACGAAGGCATCTGCGCGTAACTCTGATTATACGGAACAGATTCCCCTTGAGGGAAAAAACCCTTGGCTTTCAGCCACCACTGAAGGGGGCCTCATGTGTAGAAGGCCCAAATGTATAATGTTGGATGCCGCTATCATGAGGCCCAGCAGTCTTTGAAACTGCTTTACAGTGATGGCCTGGCCTAGCTTTTTTATCCCGGACACCATGGCCAGGATGGATTCGATACGAGCGGGAGACATACGTGCCCGCATTGTAACCGAATTCCATTTCATGCCCAGAAGAGCAGTCTTCTGAGCTGGGTCCAACACATTTTTCTTAGTGTTGAGTCTCAACCCCCGATTCTAATTCTGGCCAAGGACGACATCTCAATGCCGAACTGCCATTCCTCGAGACTGGGCCAATAAGAGCCAGTCATCGAAGTAATTCAGTCTACGGATGCCCTGAAGCCTCAGTGGAGCCAGAGTCGCATCCATATACCTACACATGAACATGCGGGGAGAGAGTGCTAGGCCGAACGGAAGAACCCGATCTAAGAGAACCAGCCTCTCGAGACTGGCCTCTGGTGGTTTTCGAGCACCCTTCTCGACTGCCTGAAGCGGAAGACCGGCAGGCTGTAGTCGATACGGTTTTCTTGACCATAACTGATGCTCGTTTTTGATTTTTCGAGGAAAAACAACGCAGAGTGCGTTCGCTGGAAAATGATGCGGCCCGAAGCGTCATAGACGGCGGGCAATACACATCGTTTCCGGGCCCCGCTGCAAGAACAACATCGGTTGCACTGCAACTGAGTGGACAGCCCCAACTTTTAGATCTACCATGCCAAACCAGTCCTCGGATCTGATTTGGTTTCCGATAATGGAAATTGTAAGCATTTTGAACCTGGATCTCCTCAAAGAACAAGTCAATAGCCTTAGATCTAAAATCAGCCTCAGTCCACTATCCTCCTTTGGAACTAAAAAGTACCGGCTGTAAAACCTGGACTTCCTGTCTGGTAGGGGAACACTCTCTATGGCCCCTTAACTCCAGTAACCTCTTGTTCCATAACCCGAGCCTGTTCTGGAACCACTGCGGTCGGTACGACCCCAACAAACTTGGGAGGTCGGTAACCGAACTGCAGTCTGTACCCATATTTAAAAATATTCAGGACCCATATAGATAATTGGAAGGCGTTGCCATTCTACAAAATCTACTAAGGGAACCAGCCCCTTGAGACCGGCCTCGGGTGTTTCTCGAGCACTATTCTCGACTTCCTGAATCAGATGACTGGCAGGAAAAAGTCTAGAAAAATTTGACCATAGTCGGTGCCCGGTTGCAAGCTCTTGGGGTGAACGCCACGGTGTGCGTTCGCTGGAAATCGATGTAGCCCGAAACGTTCAAAACGGCGGGACAACATATATATTTATATATATATATTTTTTTTTTATTTTTATTTTTTTATTTTTTTTATAAACCTGTCGACGATTGAAGTTACAGCGTCGGAGAACAGGCCAGAAGGTGATAGCGGAGCGTTCAGCAGAAAATATTTGTCTTTCCCCTTTTTTTATACCAGACAAATTTAGCCACTGATGTCTCTTCAAAGCCATCATAACTGCTACAATAAGCTATGGTACGTTTAGTGCCATAGTACGCCTGCAAAATCGTCTTAGAGTACAGGAACGTACCAGTCTGACCAACAGCCATATAAGCCCAGCCAACCAGTGCAGAGGTGTCCCTGCACGATTTTTGGGCAGCGCCGGGACTTTAAGCGAAGATGCCACATCAGGAGAAAGATAGCTCACTAAAGCTTCCTCCATTTACAGCTTCTTGCCATAACCCGCCTCTCTCACACCCACCACATTCAAATAATCATTTAATGAATATGATGAGATGTGAAAAAGAGTGTTTCTAATTCTATCTCTTTATGAAGATTTGGGGAAAAACACAGTTAGCCCGGCGCTGAGGGTGTGAATAGTGCTACAGGAATCTCTCGTCTAGCTCTTTTTGCTTTGACAAGGATCATCCTGCTTATCTTGTGGCCAACTAACATATATATATATATACATATATTTATGACTGGAATCCACAGTATGCATCACAACCTCCACAAGCTCTACATAAGCAGAACATGAGCCGGCGAGTGTGACTCATGTTGCTCGTTCCCGATGCTGAACATAATCTACTTCCTCAGAAACAGACAGCTCGAGCAACATGCACTCGTCACGGGCAGAAGAAACCGCATCGCGGGCTTCTGCGTCATGAACGAGTGTTATAGAATCAGCAGATGATAAACGAAAAAGTGCCTCAGCAGTCTCGTTTCTCATCCGCGAGATCCTTCTGCGATCCCCGCGATCCAAGCCGCCGCTACGCCTCAACGGACGCGGGAGCCGAATCGCGGCGATCGCGAGCCTGGCCATCATCAGAAAATACTATAGCCGAGCGGGAGCGCAGCACTCTATTAGGAAGTGCTTCACAGTGTTCACAGGCAGCCCTCTCGAGAGCTGCCTGTGTGTGCTGCGCTCCTATAACTATACACACACAACTGATGCGTGTCCCCGCCCGTGAGATATACAGGGCAGGGGTACACACACTAGTGTAATGTTCACTCGCCATATGTAGAGCTTTGTTACAGACAAACAACACCAAATAAGACAGACAGTTTCACAGAGAGCGCTTGCTGAAGAGCGAAAGCTACTTTGTGTTTGTTCCGGCGTAGCTTTTATGCATCCGGTTATGCCGTCACATGTTACGTCATGACGCAACACCAATCAGGATTGGAATAGTTTCATTCATACTTCAGAGGCGCACGCTAAGGGAGCGTCCCCAAAGTGTCGATTTACGACGCAGTTCGAGTTCCCTCGAAAGGGAACTGGTACTGAGCAAATAATCAATCAGAGCAGACTTTGTTTGCAAATGTCTAAAATGTTGTCACTTTTGCTTTATGGTAAAAAAAAAAAAGATTTTGTATTGACAATGAAAAAATCTGTCTCTTTAGAGAAACTGTCAAAGTCTTGGTGCGAATCTCGCATCTGTGCGTAATAAACTGGAAAATAAATTCCTGCTGACTCTGTTGCCTTCTCCTTCCACACATTCTTGGATTGGTGGTCATGATGCTGTACAAGTGAGTTCAAAGTTGTGGTGTCCCAAAGAGACCTATTCGTTTGTCTAAACTGCAATTTCTGCTTTAAACAGTAAAGGCAAAGTTTCTAATGAAGATGTTTTGACTTCAAATCTGAACTTAATTTGCTTCTTCCTGAAGTCTGACAACAGTAGTGCACTCTTTTATTCACTCTCTTCACTATTTAGGAAGGACATTGGATGTGGAGTGATGGAACTGTGTTTTTGTATACCCACTGGTGCACTAGACAACCTGACAATTACCGTGCCGAGAACTGTTTGGAGATCAACCTCTTCTGTAAGAATACAGCCTGATTTTTTTAATACTTTCAGTTATAATTTACAATCCTACAATTTTACATCATACAGTAACATGAAATGACTCAATTTGGATTTCACAAAGTGCTTTAAGTTAAATTTTCCATTTTATTTTGATCCGACTAACTTATTTCATTATTCCACCTTACAGCTAAGCGTTGCTGGAACGATACGCAATGTTCAAACTCATTCTCCTATATTTGTGTCAAGGACCTGTGAGACCGTCATGCTGATCCACAGTTACTTTGATTGAACATTGCATACATCTTTCCGATATTATCTTTTAAAAAATGTTATTCTGAAATCATATCTCTTCTAAACTTTAATCTCTTTTCAATATCTTCTCTGAAACACTCCTCAAATTAATAAAAGCATTGTAACAACATTGACTTGCTGTGGGGAAATTATTAACTCGGATGGGGAATATTATTCATAAGCTAATGAATATGTATTATTACGTACACAAATTAGATTATCCCAAAATAGGGAATGGCTAAACCTCACGTATATGAATAATCAACACGATTGCTCGTAGTGATTATTAATATAGGTCAGTAAACCAGATCAATTCTCAGGGTAAATTTACATGTGTTTCAAATTTAGCTTGTCCCGCAGCGGACTGGAGCCGAAAACTAAATTCTCTCACAACATTACCTGCCTGTAAACAGCGACAATACTCTGCCTGTGGCCACAAGGGAGTGTATTATCGTGTACGGCACTTTCAGATCTTTTAGATAGTTAAACAAGGTAGAGCTGGTAGGCTTATTACATCGACATTTTCAGAGGCCCCAAATTGTGAAACAATAAGACAGATTCAGTTCAAAAGATTAATGGAATTTAATAACACAACTAACGATTACATACACTACTTAAATCATGCAGGAGTAAATATGCATATCAACACAAACAATTAACAAAATGATTGCAATACGAAGTATTTGGAGAGAGAAAGTGAGAGAGAGAGAGAGAGAGAGAGAGAGAGAGAGAGAGAGAGAGAGAGAGAGAGAGAGAGAGAGAGAGAGAGAGAGAGAGAAACAGTTCTTGAACGCAGGGGCGTCATGCAAGCCAAAATTCTGGGGGGCACAATCTGAGACGTTGCAATTGTTTTCTGACGGGTGATATGGATCATGTTAGGAGGGGTCAGGGGGTTTCTCCCCCTGAAAATTTTTTAATTCTGGCTGCGAAACATCCTATTTCAATGCAGTTTGGGAGGGACAGAAATACCTTAACGGAGCTAGCAGCAACCCTCCTCTATCTGAGGACTAAGTTAAAGTATATGTGTATCTTATATGTGCATTATAAGATGTTTTGAAGGCCAAAAAAACTGGATACAAACAGCTTTAAAACCATGTCACGCAGCTGATTATTTTTCTCTCCTCATCTCCATCACACTTTTTCTCTTTGTTTTTCTCTTACCCTGTCTCTTCCCCTCCTAAAGTTGAGCTTTGACTGATAGGCTTTTCATTTTTGTCTGTCAGTGAAGAAAGTAAACATAGGGTCAACTGATAGGTTGATTTATGAATCATTTTCTCAGACGAGTTAATTTACTGAAAGCTACTAGGAAAGCTAGGTAGCCTAACTAAGTTTATTAAATTCATTCACAGTACACATTCATTATTGATCTTATGCCTAATACAGGGCCGTAGACAGGGCTTTATAATCACAGAGGTCCTAAATTTGAGGTGGGTAGGGGGTTCAAATTTTTTATTTCTCTGATATGTGCATTTCAAGACGTTTGAAGGCCAAAAAAAGGATAAGAAATAGCCTTAAAACCATGTCAGCGGACAGTAGATTATTTGTCAATACCTGCTCTCACTTCTTATCCATCACTCTTTCTTTTTCTCTCAGTCTCCTGATCTTGCCTTCCCCTCCTAAAGCTGAGCTTTTTTAATTTACTTAAGGCTACAAATTGTACTATATTAATTCTCAATATGTACACATTCATTATTAATCTTGTGCCTAACAATGAAAACGGCTTTTCCCCTCACAATGACAGTAAACTAACTATTAGCCTACATTACGAGTCACGTTACATAGGCCTATTTTCAGTTCAAAATGGCGAAATTAGACAAAAGTATATTCGTGTGCCGAATTATTTTTGTCATTCGTTTAACATTTATGAACTAAAAAAAACTGTCAAATATGAAATGTTTAGTTTAGCTACTTACATCTCGCACTTGACTGTACACTGAAGCGTTAAGTCCTATTTTTTTGGTCGAGTCTCACTTCTACAATTCGCGCTCAGCTTCTGTGACCATAAAGCCCGCCTACTTTCATTTCATTGGTCATCTCAAATATTCTGACATTGACGAGCAGTGACAGACCAATGAGGCTCAGATGAACACACACGCACACACACACACACACACACACACACCCTGTCCTCTGTTTCTGACGTGCGCTCTGCTCGGCGCCGCTGCGGATTGAAGATGAACAACGTGCTGAATCTGATTATAACAAGACTGAAGAAATAAAAAATGATCAGGGAGAAAAAATCTGAGGGGGCACGTGCCCCCTCACTTTGAATGGGCATGACGCCACTGGGCACAAGTTCCATTTTTTTAACACCATATGTTTCCTGTTTTCTCATATTTGATATCATGAAGAATTAAAAACTCACAGGTAAATGCAAATAACTACATGAGCTACATACTGAGGGAAACGTTTTCTTAACTTGTAGTCATTAAAATAAACATTGAAATATTTGCAGTGCACCTTTGGAGCTTTGTTTCGATGACAGTCTTCTAGGACATAGGTCACCAGCTTAAAAAAAATATTTTTAAACTGATATTTAATTATACATATGTCATAATAACAAATGTCATAATACGGCTTTGTTTTGCTTTTGCAATGTTTCCACATTATATTCATCTTATCACGTTCTTATCACACACATCTGTCTGTTTCAGATTGTATGTAAGAGCTGAAGTCACTGGTCAATTTCCATTAAAGTAAAACCGATTGATGAAACGCTGTCAAGGCAGGTCGGGCAAAAACGAGAAGGGTCTAGATGCAGTACTTTTATTTAAACAACAAAGAAGATAATTCACAATGAAGATCACTGGAGAATGACATGGCAGTACAAACATCACAAGACAAAGAACCAAAACTAAAGACTATATATAATCAGTAAATATGGAAACTGGCACAAACTAACCGAGTCTAACTAGTCAACTAACAGGCAAACTAGAACAGAACAGAACATAATGAAACTAAACTTTTCTGTGATACTGTTAAGTTAACAGGAAGTTTTAAGGTCATAATCACATCTAATGAGGAAACTGATGCCCCCTAGTTTCATAAAAACCTGGCTATGATATGAAACCAAAAATTATTTTCATTTTTCAAAAAGGATCTTAGCCAATTCGTTTTAATTATACCATCAGTTTTCATCAGCCGATTTGACTAGCTGGTTGCCCAACACTGACATTTTTTCAATATATATATATATATATATATATTTTTAATAAGAATGGAGAGCATTTCCGCTTCTGCAATAAAGAGCAGGGGAGAGCGCCGGTCTAGTCCCAAGTGCAGTAACTAGTGTCTTTTACCTGAGACAGTAGTTATCTCCACACTCACATAGGAGGTCGAATCGAAGGTCAAGACAGCTTTAGAAGGAGTAACGCCTCTGCCCGGGTGTCCACCGAGTCGATTGTTTGTACCGGAGGAGTGACAGTCCAACGTTATTCGATGGGGTCATTGCTCCTACGTGTCATCCGGGAGTAAACCGCACCAGTCTTTTGGTAAGGCCATTAATGGCTCGTGACATTCGCAGTTTTGTCTTGGCTTGCTGGGTTTGTGCCACTGCTGGTAAGACGTCTAATCGACCCCCATATGGGTTACTCCAACCGGTGGCTGTCCTTTCGAGACCCTGGTCCCACATAGCGCTAGATTTTGTCACCGATACATGATACATAATAAAACACTTGGTTAATCTGTTAATCTCCTCAACTGACATAGACGCCTGTCAAACTTTGTTGTTGTGATTAACGTACACGCAGCACAGAGAGCTTTTCACTCACCACTAAACGTGCTGTTGTAGCAAGATTCCGTGAAAAGTTTCAGCTTTTATTTTACTTTTACGTCCCGGAGAAGATATCACGGGTTCATCAAGTTCGCTGAAATCCATCCTCGATCACTTTTAGTCAGCTTTGACGAAACTGCTCTCAGCTAGCGCGTCTTTTCAAAGTGACAAGCAGCCTTGTCACCTGACCTGAATACCGCGCACTGATTTGCTAAAACAGACTTTTCGGGGCTTGTCGTTTCTGCTGTAAAACATGAACTCGCATTTGTCATATGCCTTGACAGTGGAAAATACCGTCTTTTGTGACAAAGGGTTCAGGCGTCATCTTGTCAGGCGTCCATTTCAGCGGAGAAAAGTGATGTGAGGATGTGGAGTGTGTCAAAATAAAGGTACCGTACATCGATATTTTATGTGTGGCATCGTATCGTTAGACGCTTGATCGATGCATCGATCCATATCGATGTATTGTTACACCCCTACCTCCCAATGGATGTGGTTTCCAACAGGGGACCCCAATTTGTGTCCAAATTCTGGCTGGAGTTTTGTAGATTACTGGGAGCGACGGTCAGTCTGTCTTCGGGTTATCATCCCCAAAGCAATGGCCAAACCGAGAGAGCCAACCAAGATTTGGGGAGAGTGCTGCATTCTTTGGTGTCTAAGAACCTTCCTCCTGGAGCCAGCAACTTTCAATGGTTGAGTACACGCATAACTCGTTACTAGTGTCCACAGGTCTCTTTCCGTTTGAGTGTAGCTTAGGTTACCAGCCACCAATTTTTCCTAGTCTGGAGTCCAAAGTTGCGGTCCCCTCCGTTCACGCCTTCGTCCAGAGGTGTTACCACACATGCCCGTGAGACTCTTCTTCAGGTGGGGGCGCGCACTAAGTCAAGGGCTCCCGTATACATAGTTGGTCAAAAAGTGACCAACAGCTCCGCTCCGTTTCTAACAAGCTAGCTCCCATTGGTCCCGTTCACTGTCAGGTGGCAGTCCAACTCAAACTTCCTCCGGCGTAGGCCTACAGGAGAATTCATCCCGTTTTTCATGTCTCTAAATGAAAACCTGTGTTTCATTCTCACCTTAAGCCGCTGGTCCTGGTTCCCCCACCAGTCAATCATATTCTGGACATGAGACGGAGGAGACGCGGATTTCAGTACCTGGTGGACTGGGAGGGTACGGTCCGGAGGAGAGAAGCTGGGTTCCTGCTAGGGACATTCTGGATCACTTCCTTATTGATGATTACAATCAACGGGTACATTTTTCTGGGAACGCCAGGAGGCACTCCTAGGGGGCGGGGTACTGTCATGTTCATGAATTCACTGACTCTTTATCGCTTTGTGTTGTTGTGTGTGCGTGTGGCCACT